CTCTCTCTTCATACTGTACTGTACTGTACTTTGTTTCATATTTTTGTGGTTAAAAAAAAACATGGTTCAGAACAGATTAACCTTATTTACACTGAACCTTATGGGCAAATTTGATTTGGTTGGTGACCAAAATCAGTTGGTGACCACATTTGTAGGGGTCAGAACGGATTAACCTTATTTACACTGAACCTTATGGGCAAATTTGATTTGGTTGGTGACCAAAATCAGTTGGTGACCACATTTGTAGGGGTCAGAACGGATTAACCTTATTTACATTGAACCTTATGGGGAAATTTGATTCGGTTCGTGACCAATTCGGTTCGCAACCAGAATCGTGGAACGAATTAAGTTCGTGAACCAAGGTACCACTGTATATCAAAACAAAAGTAATAATTTACTGAGATACTTGCTCATGGCAGCTAGAATAAATTTTGCTCAACATTGGAAGAAATATACAATTTCAGTGACATCTGATTGGGAACTTAAACTTGAAGAATATGCATCAATGGCAACATTAACAGTATATATACACAACAGAAGTTTAACCAAATCCAAGCATGTGCAATATATAATAAGGCAGCATGGCAAATATAAACACTTACAGTATGACTTTTAAGGGGACCTAATTTCTTATAAACACTCCAAACTGGCAGAGGCACAAAAAGAGGGAAGTTAGAAACCAAATAGCTTTTTATTTTTTATTTTTTTAAATTTTTTTTTCTTCGTCGTTGTTGTTTATTTTGTTTTGTCTATTCCTTCTGTTTCTTTAACATGCATAAACAAAAGAATTAACAATACAATAGAGGCCTTAGTATTAAGTATTAAGCTTAAGACATAAATCTTTATTGTATAACAAATACTTTGATGTAATTTGCAATTGTTAATTAATACCACATTTAGTTTTAGATGTAAAATTTAAACCACCTTATGCTTATCAACATCAACATTTTAGAAATCATAGTTAATATTGATTCAAACATCTTTTTCTTTATCTTTAAAGGTTTAAGTTATCTAAACATTAGAGTGTTAATAATCTCTAATCAATACTGTATAAATACCACTATATCCAAATAATACATGTATTACTTAAGTTTTATAATACAATAAAACAAATGAAAGGGGGAAAATGCCCAATTACATTTATTAGAGTTCATTCCATGTAGATGTCACAGCAGGTGGCAGCACCTAGCCAAATTTAGCTGATTTTGATAAAGCTAAGCAGAATCACCCTGGATGGCAGACCTCCAAGAAATCTCAGAGCTGCAGGGTAGAATGGGAAGCCCACCCTCCCCTCAAAAGAAAAAAAAATCCCAGAAGAAACCAGTGGAAGACCACCTCTGTAATTGTTACCAAGATATCCACATAGTCAGGAGGACCCAATATTCAACAGAGGAGCCTTTTCTTTAAAAATAAAAACAAATAGATCTGTTTTTATAGATGGATCTTTTATAGTAGTGTTCTCAGTAAGGAATCTCTGCACTCAGAGTAACTGTCTGAACATTCACTGAAAGAGTCATTCTCCCCTTTCTGCCTCCTTTCTTCCTGTCTTCATTCTATTCAAGGTAGTCAACCAAGGGATAAATGCAGCTGTTGGTGGTAGTTGGGGCAGACAGAACTCTCACTCCATGAACTTCTTTAAGTTAACATTTTCTAATTTAGGTTGCAGCCTTTTAGTCTTTGAAGCTATCAATGAAAACCTTTTCTCAAGAACAACATTTGCACTATATAGCCTGTCTACAAAAAATAGTTCGTAGAATTAGTAGCGAAAGTATGTACTTGAAATCATTTATACCCATACATAATCTATTAGAACTTCTTAAGTACTGTTGTACAGAAATAACTGATCCTAGAAGCTAGTTAACATATAAAGTGACAACAATGAGTGTGAGCATATGCTAGAAATGCTAGTTACTCTACAAAGGGACTTGACTTTCCACTATCAGCTCTTTTCTGATTTAACTTTGGACAAAGGCAGATATCATTATAGTAGCACCTATTTGCTCAAAGATATATATCCTCTACCATTACATGTGTCAAGACAAATAAAAACTGCTGAAACTTTTTTCATCCACCAGTATGAATGACAGGACAAAGAAAAAAAACTGATATAAAAGCAATCGACTATATTTAATCAATAATTTAATATAGAAAGGATTTGGCTAACTTATTGAGAAGCAGAGAAGTGTGTGTGTGTGCAAGTGATTAGGAGGCTTTGGAAGGTTTAGGTCCACCCAAGATATATATATGTATGGCTACTTTGCAGAAAGCTGGTAATTATGCACCAAGTACCTCCTAGATTCTTGAAAAATACATGCAAACTTTAATGCAAAATACTGTATGATAAGTGGCTAAAGTCTCTCTCAGACACATACACAATTGTATTAGATGCTTACTTTTGCAAGACACAAAGTATTTCCTTCTTCCTTTTAGCCCACATTTTGAGTAAATCTTAATGGGACAGAAGATGTTGGGCTTAATTGTTCCATTGTTGTGCTCAGTTCAGTGAATATACCACTGTGTGATATGTTGTATTTTCTCTGCTTTTGTATAAAAGGAATTTTGCTGATTACTTGTATTTGTGAAACAGTCATATACCCTGTAAATTAGGACTCCAAACACCATTCATCAGGGTGAAGGCTCTTTCTGCTTTGATGAGTAAATGACAATAGCAGTAAATATTATTTTCTATTGATTGTGAAGACTAGTTCATATTTGAAGATGTGTAGCTACAGAAAGATTAACGAATCATTCTGTAGGCCATGGGAGGACAATTTTTTGTGTGGCCAGAATGGCTGATGATACTCTGACACTGAAACTGGGGCACTGAGTAGTAGAATGTATTTTTATCAGGTTTAGGATGATTTCCACAGATTTAAGAGCAAAAGCTATCCATTTTGCCCTTTAATCTACCCAAAATAACCCTTAATTTTCAAGATTAATAAGTTTTGTTTTGTTTTTTAGGGAGAAATGGCTTATATCACTCACATCCTCCAAAAACACAAAAAGAGCCAAAAATATTGCCCCACCCATACCAAGAATGGTCTGGAAGTTCTTGAGGTGGTGGGGGCCACAAAAGGATTGCTTCAAAAAAGCTGCATGTTCATCCCTGCTGTAAGAGAATGCTTTTTCAGTTATCAGTGCTACTCAGATATTCCAGTTTAAAACAAGGCTGGAGACTGAACATTGGCATCTGATTTTTTTTCTGTTTGCAAACTTTAGTCTGTAACTTTGTGCTGTGAGGAAATACATTTACCTGGGAACTCATGCCACAGAAAAATGATTTTTTAAAGATGCAAATGCCTGCTAAAAACCTGACAAAATGATATAATTTCTTCATGTACAGAATAAAATGCATTAAACAGGGTATTAAGATAAGCTTTCACTGGCCAGATAAGCTTTATGTGGCCAGATATGAATCCATGCAGAACATATTTAGAGTATTTGTGTGTTAGAGAGAACAAAAGAGAAAAACAATTGACTTAAAGCTTAGCTTCTCAGTTGGCTTAAGTTTTAAATGAATACATGAATAAATAACTGTTCTATCTAGTGCCTGAATATTGTTGCATTGATTCTTTTTCTGACTAAAGTTCACAAGCAGTTCATAGAAACAAATCCTTGGATACCAAGCCCAGACATAATTTGTACATTTCTGATATTTATTAAAGATGCAAGTGTCCAATTAGATTATTAACTGTATTTTAGCAAACATTTATAACAAAAATAGTGGATTTAATCTTGACATGCTATTGAAATAATTTCAAACCAGGGAACTTACCATCTGACATGCCTTCCCTACGATGAGGCAAGGAGGGCTGTTTTTTGGTAGGGTTAGGCCTAGGCCTTTGACTCTGATTCTGGATTGTACTGGTATTAGTGTCAGTAGTAAATGGGCTAGTTGGGCGAAGCTTCTGAGAAGCAGAATGTGGTTTGCCTAAAAAAAGAAAAAGAAAGAAGAAAAAGAAGAAAAGAAAAAAATGAAAATGAATACATTCTTAAAATGTCTTCATTTACAATGTTTGCTTTATGATAGGCTACCAGCAAAGTAACAAAGGCAGCATTTTATTTTCTGAGAAATTTTCAAACTTTTGTGTTTGTTAAACACAGCAAGGTTACTATTAAAATACTATTTTTACCTTGTAAACAACAATTATTCATAATGGTTTTCACAATGTCTTTTATGTGCAATAAACACATACACTTAATACAAGGATTTTAATCAGAACTATGCAACACATGTTATAATGTCTGAGTAACCACAAAAAGCAGATTTTGCAGTAATTTTATTCTTTGGGCAAAACTATTGAAGAATAGACTAAATCATATTCTCTGTATTTAAATATTTTATCTGCATGCAAAATTATTTTTATGTAGATGTAAACAATTTCCAGATGTGGAATTTCCCTCACTTCCAATACTTCTTATTAATGCATTATGTACTTGCAGAAAAGCATTCTATTCTATTCTATTCTATTCTATTCTATTCTATTCTATTCTATTCTATTCTATTCTATTCTAT